AGAGAGCCCTCTGCCTAGGCAGGAATGTTGGGATGGTCGTCATGGTCGTGTCCCCTCAGGTTTAGTCAGTCCTGAACTGATGGCCGGCTCCTCTCCACCTGCCTGGCCCAAGGTGACCCAGCAGGCGCTGTGAGCATGCCACCACCCAGCACCCAGCACCCACCTGGACTGGGCAGACCAGGTCCTCAGTCAGCGAGGTCCACCTGGGGCTTGTCCCTGAGGTCAGTGCCATCTGCTGGTAGGACTGGGTATTGCAGACAGGGGTGCCCTTCCAGACCCTTTGGGACGACCCAGCCCCCACCTCCTGTCTCCCACTTGTCCCCAAAGACTGGGGTGGGGGAGGGGGAGAGGGAGTGCAACCAGTTCCACACTCAAAGAAAGACTTTCAGACATGGCTGTGACAATGACATGGATTGAGATATAATCTTCCGACCATACAATTCACCCACTGAGGGTGTACCACTCATTGGGTTTATATTCAGAGCCTCATCCAGCAGCATCATATCAGTGTTAGAACATGCTCATCACCCCAAAGAGGAGCCCCATCGCCACTGTCAGTCTCCCTGCAGCCCCTGGCAAACGTCAATCCTCTTTCTGTCTCCATGGATTTCCCGATTCTGAACATTTTATAAAAACAGGTTCATTAAGCATGAGGCCTTGGGTGTCAGACGTCCTCAATGATGTTTTCGGGGTTCATCATGTTGCAGGATGCGCTGGTACATCTGTGCGTTTGTGGCCAAGGAATGTTGTGTTGCATGGAGGGAGCCCTCTGTCGCTCTGCTCACCAGTTGATGGACCGTTGTCTTCACTCTCTGGCCACTGTGCACGGCGCTGCCATGAGCATTTGTGCACAGGTGTTTGTGTGGACATGGCTTCCATTCTCATGGGCATATGCCCAGGAGTGGCATTGCTGGGTAACATGTTGAAGAACTGCCAGACTGTTTCCCGAAACAACTGCCCATGGTGCGACCCCCCCACCCCACCCCGTCCCCGTGTCCCGCCTGTCCTGGGTACCATGTAGGGTGCTGGAGCCCAGGTGACCTTGGGACCAACCCTGACATACCCCTCCTTGGCTGTGAGACCTTAAGAAAACTGTTGAATCTCTCTGAGCCTGTAAAAGGTAATGGCAGAATGTAGCAGATGCCCTCCGCGTGCCTGCCCACATCCTGGGGCCCTCACGGCCCAGTGCACGTGGACCCCAGAGCTTCTCACCCCAGTGCCCATTTTTGCCCCAGGGGAGTGGGCCCGGAATTCGAGGAGGGACTGTCTCTATGAGCAATCCTCAACCAAAGGCAGATGTGGTTTGGAGGGTAAATAGGCCAGGTGCCTCCCCCGCCTCCCGCCAAGGTGGGTGATGGGTGGGGGCCTGCAGTGACTGTGCAATTAGCCAGATAATTATAGATCGTGTAGGGATCTGTGAACAAAATAACAAGGCATTGTGAGGAAAAATAGAGGGGACCCGATTGGTGGGGGAAATGGAGGTGGAGGAGCAACCAGCCGGGTGAAGAGTAGAGGGAAGAATGGTCCAGTAGGGGCATGTGCAGAGGTCCTGGGGCAGAGCAGGACTTGGGAGGGGGAGGCAGGGATGCCTGGTGGAGAGGCCACTCCTGGAAAAATCACTGAGGCTGGCCGAGTGCCTGGAGGGCCTGCCTGCTCTCCTGAGACAAGAATCTGAGCGTTCACATGCACTTGTGGTGAGATGCGTGGAGGGAGGAGGTCAGAGAGGACGGACCAAACAGCCAGGGCAGGTTTCCCTGACAGCCCCTCCTCTTCACACATTCAGCCAGCGGCCCCGGGGGCTCAGGGAGAGCCCTGTCCTCCTGGGAGAGCCGGGAGGTCCACCTTGCTGGGTGCGTGCGGCCGGGCCTGGCGAGGAGCTCTGCTCTCTGCGGGCATGGTGGGCGAGGGGCCATCGAACCTGCACCAGCCTTGACGGAGACCCTGACTCCAAGGCCTGTGATCCTAAACACCTCTCACCACGAAGCCAGTTCTTTCTCTGCCCCATCTCCCCTCACCCTGTCCCCAGCCCTCAGTCTGGACCTTCCCACGTCCCAGGTCGGCTCTGAATGCAGATGAGGTTGTGGTCAGATTGCCATCTGGATGGGGGCTGGCTGGCCACAGGCACTGGTTCTCAAGAACGGGGTCTTGAGCCCAGCCAGTGTGGCTCAGTGGTTGAGCGTCGACCTATCAACCAGGGAACCAGGAAGTCATGGTCCGATTCTCGGTCAGGGCTCATGCCCAGGTTTGGGCTTCGATCACCAGTAGGGGTCGTGTAGGAGGCAGCTGATCAATGATTCTCTCTCATCATTGATGTTTCTCTCTCCCTCTCCCTCTCCCTTCCTCTCTGATATCAAGACAAATGTATTTTAAAAATAAAATAAAATAAACAACAGGGTCTTGACTGCTGATGTCCCCTTTGTCCTCATTAACTGGGAGCTGTCCTAGTTTTTCCTGACTTTCTCCAGGTCACTGCTCCCAACCTGCACTTTTAGAGTTGTACCTGGCCCCCAGGAGGCTGCACGCTCCTCATAGGCAAGGCTAAGCTGCTTTACCTGTGCAGAAGGTCTGGTGGAGGGTAGAGGAGTGCATGGCTGGGTGGATGGGTGGTAGATGGCTGGCTGGCTGGGTGGATGGATGGACAGATGGATGGATGGGTGGATGGATGGAGAATTACAGTGCCATTCTTCTGAATTGTACAGAAAGCAGATAAATGTATTTATTTATTTTATCAATGTCCATACATGAATTTTTGAAATCTCTAACTTGAAACTAACCTTCCCAAGGCATGCGATTTCCCAGAAACTCCCAGCGTGCCCTCAGTACGCCCTGTGTGCCCCATGACTTTCCGTTCACTCCACCTCTGAGCTCCTCAGGTGAGAGCACCGCAGGACAGGCACCTGCCTGCCCTCCCCCCACTCCTGGCTGTAAAGCTATTATTTGTGGACCGTTCCATGACTGAGTCTCTCAGCGGATCCTGGCAACCACTGTGGGAACCCATTGACAGATGGGGAAACTGAGGCTGGTCCTGGGCTCTCGCGATCAATTGTGACAGAACAGAAGTAGCCGAGGCCGTGTCTGAGTCCAGCACTGGGCTGCCTCTCTTCCCACCAGGCAGCCCCCCTCCCCAGATCCGGTTCCGAGGTGTGGACCGCAGCCCGGTGGGGTACTCAGGCTCCGTGTGGGCTGCCCTGGTCGTCCAGCTGTTGCAGCCTGTGGGGGGGACGGGGTCAGCCCCAGGCGCTATATCTGGCTCGGTCCTGGAATGCGACCCCGGCAAGGTCACCCTCCGATGGGTGGGCGCTAATTATAGACCTGCTTGCTCATCTTTCCGGGTCCTTCAACCCCAGGGAGGCAGGAGGCCTCTGAACCCACTGAGGGGTTCAAAGGCCCGCTCAGAGCAGCTGAAGCCCCATCACCCAGGGCCGGTCCGCCTTCCTCATCAGGGGGCCGCCCGGGCTGGGGCTCAGGGGCTGGGCCCTGGGTCCTGCTTCACACAGGCGGGCCACCTTCTCCTGGGGACAGGTGGGGAGTGGACCAGGTCAGGGCGAGCAGAGGGGCCCACCTGGCCGCCTGTCCTCGTCAGCTGTGCGAAGACAGGGGTGGCGGCTGGCCAATCCTGAGAGGCTCTGTTTTTTGTGTTTTATTTTATTTTATTCAGCACTGTTTATTGAGCACCTTTGACGCTTCGATCTCTACTTTTATGCGGAAGGCACTCAACTCCCGAAATCGAGATGTTACAGTGCTTTTTTGTTGTGCAACCATCAGTTACCAACACCCATCTCCGGACTTCATTTTTCCAATGGACACTTGGTCCCCATTAAACACACACTCCCTTGGCCTCCTCCAGCCCGTTTATGAACTTGACTCCTCTAGGGACCTCCTATGAGTGGACTCATACAGGATTTGTCCTTCGTGACTGGCTTATTTCACTTAAAATGTCCCAAGGTTCACCCACCTTGTAGCAGGTCAGAGTCCTCCTCCTTTTTAAAGCTGGGGGATATTCCACTGTGTGGATGGACCACATTTTGCTTATCCTTTCGCCCACGGATGGACTTGGTCTGATGGGAATAGCACTGCTATGCACGTGGGCGCGCACACACCTGCTGGACTCCAGCAGATGTTGCCTCTCTAGGCAAAGGCAGAAATGATCAAGGCCCAGGGGGGTTTCGAGCAGAGTCCTGGAACGCACCTGACTGCACAGGCACTCACAGGGGTCCTTGCCATGGAGGGTTTTATTGGGATTTTAAACACAGCACACCTCTCTCTCTTTCTCACATGCGTGCACAATACATTCACAGACAACCAGGATCACACAGACACATGTACACGCGTGCATGCACACACAGATGTCCGCAGACAGTTCCCGAATTCACGGACACCTGCCCACACGCAGGCTCCCAGGTGCGTTAACCTTTCTTTCCATCCACCTTTTACCTTTCAGATGGAACAGCGTTCAGAGCCAGGGGACTGAGTGCCTCTTGAGCCCAGCTTCCCAGCACAATCTTACATCCCAAAGCAGTGACTCGGCACGGACCCTACTGTCCTCACAAGCAAACGTGTTCATGTAAAACCTGCCTTATTATCTATTAAAGAACAAGGTAGAATAAAATACTTTAATGTTCCAATTACACATCCCCCCGCCCTTTCCCACAGCTGCACCTCGGGGAGCCTCCTCGGTAGCCAGGACCCCGCATTCAGCTGGTCTTCCCGGCTGGTGGGGGTCCCTGGTGAGTGGGGGCCCCTGGTCAGTGCAGACCTATGAGTGTCTTCTTCACAGCAGTTCTTCTCTGAGTCCCGGCTCGGCCCCATTGTCCCGGCTGGAATGGTGCTTGTTTGAGAGAGTCAGCAGGAGCGGGGACAGTCACTTATGGAAACCTGCCCAGCCGGGATGGCCAGCTATGATGGACGGCAGACGCTCAGCCATTGGCTGGTCCACCGTGAGCTTGGCGCCCAGCCATGGGGCCACAATGCTTGAGGCCTCCACTCCGCCTGCCGGGCAGCTAAGCGAGGCCTCCCCGGCTCCTCTGCCGCTGTCGCCGCCGCTGGGGCTGGGTGGCCTTGCCAGGTGGCCTGGCCAGGCCGCCATGGAGCCCGGCCCCGCTCTGGAGCAGCCGCACCATCTCGTGGTCCTTGTGGTCGAGCACGCGGGGCAGGAACAGTGAGGACTTCTGTGTGCGGCGCGTCTTGAAGCCCCTGCGGGGCCGGCCCTTGCCGTTGACCGACACATACCACAGTCTCTCGGCGCTGGGCTGGCGCCGGGCCCCCGACCCACTGGGCACCGTCCGGTAGAGCCGGGAGGCATACGTGTTATAGCCCAGCTCATGGATCCGCTCCACAAACTCGCACTCCGCGTTGTAGTTCTCCTGCGGGTTTGGGCAAGATGCCTTGGTCAGTGACCCGGGGGCCACACGGACATGGGGCCAGGGTCCCAGGGACAGCTTCTTCTTCGCAATCCCCCCTCCCCTTCGGCTCCTGCCAAATCTGGCTGCTTAGCCTGCCCAGACCCGTGCACAGGGACCCTCCACACCTTTGCCGAGGCTGTGCCCTCCACCCGGCGTGTCCTTCCTCCCACCTGCGTCTGGTGAACTTGGCCTTGGGGATCAGCTCAGGGCCTCTTCCTGGGCCAAGGTTTCATGAGCACCTTGGGAGGAGTGGCTCTCCCTGTCTCCCCTCCTGGGCCCCAGCCTCCCACAGCCTCCACGGGACTAACCCTGGAGGGTGTCCCCAGCACAGGGCCAGCAGGGCCAGGGCCTGCCCGACCCAGCACCCTCATTGTCTGCTGGCGGCATGGATGTGAGCAGCACTGGACACTGGGACCAGGGGAGGGGATGACGCCCCAGAAGGAACAGCATAAAGGAGAAGGAAGGAAAAGCACACTGAGACGGGCAGGGGAGGGAGCACAGCCGGTTTTCCCTTCAAGGCTGAGCCGGACCCCAGCCCTGGGCCTGGGCCTCAGAAAGCCGCTGCCTTGGCCTCTGTCCCTGCCCCACAGGTGGAAGGAGGGACAACTGTGCATGGAGCGGAAGCCAGGAGCCCAGCGGGGTCAGCGCCCCCCCTCACAGGTGCAGGTGCTGCTCTCAGGGCCCCAACACCAGGGGTGGGAAGGAGGTTGACTTTGGCAGCGGGATGAATGGACCCATGTCAGCTCGGCACAGGGTGGGGTGTGGGGTGGGAGTCCCTGCCCTCTGGGAGGCAGGCATCTGGAGGGTCAGAGGGGAAAACTCGGAACTGAAGGAGCTGTCACCAGTGTCCCCCAGGGCGCCTTGTGGGGTCTCCCAGGTGGGGGAAGGGTGTGTGTGCCTCATGCTGACTCAGTCGAGGCTTCAGTCCCACCCCCAGGCAGGTGGGCGTACCAAGAGCCACCACCCCCCGCCAGGGCTTCCCTCCCTGACTGTGCCAAGGGGCAGGGCTGGGGGAGGCAAAGGTGGGCAGAAGGACCTGGCCTCTCTCATGAGACTGGCCACTCAGTAGGAGCAAGAGACCCTTGGGTCTGTCTCTGAGAGCAGGTGACCCGCAAACCCTTTATGAGGGCCCACAGGCTGGTGGGGGCCAGAAGTACTGGGGAAGCAGGATGTTTAAGCATCAACGCCTCTTCCCCAATGGCTTGGAGATCGGAGTCATGGGGGTGGGGGTGGGGGGAGGGTAGAGGGGTGTGGCTGAATCGGGAGGGGGGGTACCTCTCCCCATAAGCCCAGCCCCTCTCTGTTCTTCCCCTACAAGTGGGGGCTCAGGGCTCAGAAGCTCAATGTCAACCTCCACACTGTACAGTTGCGTGAGTGCAGCTGCGTGAGTGCAGGAAGACCCCAGCAAGACCTGACACCGAGTGTGACCTACAGCAAGTGCCTGTGAATGAAGGGATGGATGCTGGATGGAGGGGGGGGGGAGGGCAGGCAGATGAATGGATGAATGGATAGATAAGTGGGTGGATGTTGATAGATGAATAGATGGGTGGATGGACAGAGGACTGGAAGAGGGTGTGAGGCTGGAGGCCAGTAGCCCCGCCCCAAGGTTGTGATGGTCCAGGTGGGAGGTGATGAGGGCCTGAGACATGAGGGCAGTGGCATAGGCAGGGAGGTGAGGGGAACGGATGGAAGAGAGAGAGATCGGGAGGTCTAGTCTAGGACTTGGAGAGGGCCTGGATGTGGGGCTGAGAGAGAAAGAGGCATCCACCATGACTCCCAGCTGACCCTGGGCTTGAGAGAGTGGCTGGTAGGGGAGTTAGGGGAGCCGCAGTGTCCAGCTGGGGTGTGCTGCCCTCTGCCGGGGCCTCTGAGCCACCAGGGCTTACAGGGGTGACCTCTAACTCAGAGGGAGTCAGGGCTGGGATTGGGAGCTGTCGGGGTGCAGTGGCTGCTGAGCCAGGGAAGTGGATGAGCTGGCCTGGGGAGGTGACCGGCAGGCTGACGGCAAAGACGAGGGGACCCGGACAGCCAAGAGGCAGGGCAGTGGGAACAGCACCGCGGGCCAGCTGGCGGCGCCTAGGATGGGGACATGCGGGGGCAGTCACAGGGCGGCACCTGGCTGCCTCCCCCAGGTCTCTGCAGGGCAGCGAGACCGCTCTGCTGACACTCTGCAAAGCCCCATCGCTTCCACTGGACCTCCTGGCTATGCTGAGGTGAACCTCTCTCTTCCTCCTTTCCCAAAGCCAACGCCATGACACTTGGGGACAGAAGCCACAGGGGGGCTCTGACCCACTGGGCTCACTCCGGCCATGCTTTGTTCTGCCCCCAAAGCCCGGGGCCTGGGTTGCCCACGAAAAAGACGGCAGGAGCCTTAGGCTTCCCCTCTCAGTTCAGCCTTCCCTGCCCCGCTCTCGTGGATGTCACCAGTGTGGACGGGAGGCCCTCAGAGGTCAGACCTGCACCGTCACTGCAGGCCAGCGACACCTCCTCCCTGGGGTCGCCTCTCTCTAAGGGACAGGTCTGAGGTCCTTTCAAGAACAGAAAGTCAGTTCCACTGGCCAGGGGCACAGTGCCCACGGGCCTGGGAAGCCACACTCCCTCAGGGAAAACTCAGCCGGCCTAGGGGCCTGTCCAGTAAACCACAACTGCTGTGTGAGGGGCTGGGCACCAGAGGGCCCCTCCTCCCAGACACGCCTCTGCCCCGTGCCCGCTGGGCCAGAGCATTCCGGTTCGCCTTTCCCTCAGCAGAACATGTGCGATGAAATAATCGGCCTAAAGGCGGGTCTTCCTGCAATTCTTCTGGAGGGCGCTTTGCCTGACTGCAGAAGGGGCAGGAAGTGGTGGTGTGTTTCCCTCGCAAGCGCCGATGGAGGGAGATGACTGTGTGGAGATGGTCCTGGGGCCGCCTCGCCTAGGTTACGTGTGGATGGAAAACCTCTCATTGCCCAAGAAGGTATCGGCCGAGTTGCATGTAATGACTAGTTGGAGGGAGCAAATTTCCTAGTTCCATGTACTTTACTCCATGTATCCCCCGCCCCCGCCCTGGGGGAAGGACATGCCAAGGCCCACAGAGTCCCAGGAGGTGGACAGACTGGGTTCTAGCAGGTGTGCCTGGGACGTGGGCCCCGTCTCCCTGCCTCTGGGCTCCCTCCTGAGAGCTAACGGCTCTAGCCTTCCACCTTTGGGGAGCACTGGCTTCCAGGCCAGGGGACCGCAGCTCCATCCGGGCCCACCCACAGGAGAGACTGGACTCACCGATGCGTAGAGCCGTCCCCTCTTGTTCATGGCCAGGTACCGCCCGGAGAAGAGCCCCTTGATGGCCACGATGCCCACCTCCACTGCCGTTATCTCTAGAATACCTGGGAAGAGTGGGGAAGGCTCATCACTCCCTCCGCCTCCCACGGAGCACAGAGGTGAGGGGCGAGGGCCATGAGCCTTGCCCAAAGCTGACACACACCCGCAAGGAGGGTGACTTTGGAAGTTCAGGAGAGAAATTACTGGGCAGGAGGTGAAAGGGTGGAGCACCGGGGAAGGTGCTCCAAGGAGAAGAATTCAAACCTGGAGTGGGGGGCGTGGGGGGTAACAAAGCTGACATTGCTACACACTGATTCCAGGCCTCAAAGGACGTGGAAACAACCCTGCCAGCCAGTTTCCTAAGACTGCCGAGGCCGAGTGACCTGCCCAGGGCGCACAACACATGTTTTGAGCCCGAAATCAACCTGGGGGCTGCATACTACAGCTCCCCGGCCTGGAACGCCATGCCGTGGGGGTCCCGCAGGGGGACAGTGGGGGCCTTGCCTGAAGCTGGTTTCATTATAA